TCAGTGAAATGAAAAGATGATTCCCCCACTACAAAATTCTTCAAGTGCTATTCTGTGTGTGAATGTGTGTGTGAGACCATGTGTGCAATGTATGTGTCTGCTTGTTTACAAACATTACTGTTTCTGTCTAGGTACACAGCTACATGGATACATGTTTATGTACTTGCTCATGCACATAAATATGTACATGTACATGTGCATGTCCTTGTGTGATTGTGTACATGCACTGGATTTGTGTAGACTAAACACATAAAATAAAAAATACAGTGAACTCAAATTCCATTGATAGTGTAAAACCAGATTGATTTAATACATCAACAAAGAGAGGTTAACAAGGGCATATGGTAAATCATCAAAGAACCAAAAATAGTCTCAAAGACAAAAAAGTATATAAATAATATTTCCTAAAACCATTCAAAATCTAAGTCCACTGACAAGAGAAATAAAGAAAATAATGCAGCAAGAAAAAGAAAATAAAGAACACTGCATTGCAACAATGGCATATGCACCAGCTAGGCTTTAAAGATAATGAAATTGACAGCAACATGGAAGATAAAAAAGGATAAAAAAGAAGGAAAATGCTGAAACAATTAGCATGAAAATGAGTAAAGAGAGTATGAGATGTAAAGAATAAAAGCATAAGGCATACAGTTGTAGAGTATTAAGAGGCTGAGAGAAAGAGAGAAAGTGAGAGAAAGAGAGACAAGCAATAAGATACAGGCAGTGAACCCAGTGTTGGGATACAATGCTGTAGTAAGACACTTAATGATAAGAGGGAATAATAAAACATTAGTAGTTATCGTAAAAGGGATAAAAAAATATATATATATACATATGATGCCTATTCAAAATGACTTACCTGTGATTGTATTTTCTAAGGGTTTTCAAGCCATATTTGCCCTCTTGCGAGCACTTGGACACCGGGAGACTTTCTAGGTTGGCCATCAGGAGGTTGATAGAGGTCTTGAGTTCTTCGAGGTACAGGGACTCCATCTCCTTCACGACAAACTTGGGCATCAACTTGCGATTCTGGTTTGACCAAAAGACTAGCGTCAAGATTGTTTTTCTCTCATAATTTGTACATGTTATAATTCAGTGACCATGTAAGAATGAGCTATCCACATTTCACAGTCTTTTTTCTAAGTGAAAAGTCTAGTGATAAATTTCTCTTACAAGTGGTTGACTAATAACTTAGTTTGCTAATACACTTTGTACAAACGAGGGATACAATTCAAAAAGTACATATAAAAATTATGCATATAGGATTGGGTTAGGTCCCCTTTCTTTTCTTTCAGTTTCAACTTTACGCTATGTTGTACTCTGCAACTCCTGAATGCAGAAGCATTAAAAAATCAATGCGGATTAATGTTACAATGTATGTACATGTATCATCTATTAGCAAGGATATGTAAGCAATACAAGGTTAGAAAAAATATAATTTAAAATCTAGTGGAAAAGGTCAATAGAATGAGTTATTATTCACAGTAGTTTCAAACAGGAAATGCATAATAATACTTAAAAGTAAGTCCCAGGCTGTAAATAGCATAACAGTTCCAGAAAGTCATCTAGAGTTGCAAGTTTCAGATGCAAGAACTAAGAAATGCAAAAAAGAAGCAAATCAAGCACCTCAAGTTTGTGCCATGGAGCAAGACGGAGAATGATCACTTCTACGACACCATATTTTGCAGTGTTTACACAGCATGGGCATAGAATAGTCTATAAAACTTTGAAAACCACTGAAGATCAAAAGACAACAAACACAAGTTTATGATAAATTATAAAACCATAAATGCATGATTATAAGAATTTTATCATCCATCAAGACCAAGATTCAATAGTTATGGCCCTTACTAAGAGCAAACTACAAAAATCGGAGTAGATGTATGTTGTAACATTTTATTATCATTCACTTTCATTTTCAGTCAGTTATATAACCTAGGTTAAATATATAAATGCAAATTATTTTGCCCAGTGTTTTACTATTGGGGCAAGTAGCAAGATCTTTTTTCTTGTGGTGCACAGAACCAATCCTTTTGCCTAAAAATATCATAATGGGGCATATATTACATATAATAAAGTCATTGCTGAGAACTGTGCCACAGAGCAAAGCTACAAAAGATAATTCTAATTACAAGAGTGATCTCAGAATAGTATCTAAGAACATCAGAGAATATATCATATATACATATAGATAAATATATATATGGAATACATGCCACTTATTAAAAATAAACAAATAAATAAAAAACACATATTATACAATATATTAATCCGAATAATAAATATATCCATAATTTTACCCACAGCCTTCATCCAATCTCTATGTTCTAGATCTACTAAGAGAAATGCAAACCTATGGCTTACTGAGGCCTCTAGGATAATTTTCATAATCAAACTTACTTCTGGATCTCTCTTAAGACCCTCTAACTCCTTTTTCAAAGACGTGGAAATAAGAAAAAATAAGAAAGGATTTGGTGGTGCAACAAAAATTGTATATAGAGTGGCAAAGGGGGTGGTGATGACAGGGTATGGAATATTTGCCTTGAGGTAAACATTTTGAAAGAAATGTTGCTCATTTACATGAGAACTGTAACACTATATAAATATTAGTGAAAGATTGGCTAATATTGACTTTTATTTTTTTACTTTCTCCATTTTATATTTGATATTTACTTCCACTTTTAATGTTTCACCAGTTACAGATTTAAATTGCTCAGTTTGTATTTGAAGCATACTGACTAGTGAAAACAAATAAGGAATATAATTATCATTATAATTATTAATTTCATCATCATCATTTGAAATAATCTTGAAAATATATAGGGTGCATGAACAGCTATTATCATAAAAACATCATATTGTTTACTGAAACTTTCAATAAACGTCAGTGAATTGAAAACAGTAACAATGGACCAATACTGCTTTTATGTTAAAATGTAGACCTGATTTTGTCATGACAATAACAGCTGAATACTGACAGTGTATTTCATTAAAGAATCATAAATAGATTTTGCATAATGCAAATTACTTGTGCAGTGTAATAATACCATGGCTTAATGAGAGATGCATTGGGAAAGGATCCAAAACATGAACTCCAACTAAAGTAAAAGAAATAAACTACTATAAAAAGTACTACTTTTACATCAGCTTCATTAATTATACTGATGTAAAAAAAAAAATCATGTTATTGTAAGATAGCTAATCAAATAAATATTCTGAATATTTACCACTCTAATGTGTATGTATAAAAATGTAATATCATAGATTTGATTGTGAAAGCATTTATATTTCTCATAAATGGTTCATTAGTCACTTACAGTTGACGAATCCTTTTCGTAATGAAATTCTTGTAATCATCATATAAAGACTCCCTTTTTGTAATCTAACAAATAAAATACACTTAAATGCACCTTTGTAAACATGTGAATAAACATGTTTGGTACTGACTACCGCATATGAGTATTACTGCATATTCCCGCAAGTGAATTAAGCATACACTAATGAGACATTATCAATCAAATAGAAGATATAGATCTCTAAAATTATTTTTCATTATGAATGTATAATTTGCATAAAGCCTCAACACACTCAACAGAAGTCTCTTGTTGGGAGTAGTGATAGATAATACCTATATGTATAAACAGTCTTACTATAATATAATACAGAATGTGTTTTGTAACACGTTGGTCTTTTAAGGCAGCAGAAGACTGTTCATTTTCATTCTTAGCATGCTTGTGATATTCATCTTTTTATCTAAAAGAAAAAATGAGAATAATCTTTGAAATGCATATTCTGGTTTGATTTGCTTCCATCAAAATTTATTATAAAAAAGGATGCTATTTACCACTTCAAAATTCATATCAAGATCAAGGGTAAATGCACCTATTTCTCCATTTACATATCTTTAAATTTTTTTGACATAAATGTGTTCATGGAGGACAGCTACAAATGCAAGGTATGTGCCTTATTTAAAGAATAATCAAAATAGTATATAAACAAGTTTAGATATTAAGAGTCACATATGGCTAAACAATACCACCAATAAAAGAGATAGAAAAGAAAGGTTGAAAAAAATATTAAAGAAAAGAAAACTACAATATGAAAACATCCTGCTTACTGTTATTTTCTTAGTTGTGTAATCAATATCGCATCACTAATTACCATTTTTTGCATGGCTTTTCACAATGTATTCAACTCTTGAACAGATACCAAATATGAATTTTAACGTCTTAAAATAATGAAATGAGAAAAAAAGAAAAAGAAATAAACAATGACACACACTGGAAACAATGAAAGCAATGGACGTGAGCACAGGACATGAGCCATGTAAATAGGTTTGACAACTCACCCTCTCTAATTCCGCAACTTTCTGCATCCTGCCGTCCAGTTCTCGGCGGATGGCTGCTGCTTGTTCATCCTGGCTGTCCAGCTGAGGAAGAGAAAAAGCAGATGCAGATCCTGGGTCTGGTGGTGAAACTAAGTTTATGGGTAAATCTATGTGTTTTAACTTTACTGTTATTAAGAGTCATGGCTGTCCCAGGAATAACTTGAATTTTGGTTGTTATGCCACTTTTGGGGGTAATCACAATGAAAATATATAAAAGAAATGTAATGCATTAGCTATCAATCAAACATTTACAAAGATAACTCAAGTTTGAAATCATACAGCCATAAGAATGATAATGATGCTAAAGCAGTTGCTCATTATGAATGTATAATATATGATGATAATGGAGCTTATATGTATGTAACATTTTATGAAGTTGATAAACCAGTTTTTCATATCCTGACAATTATATGCATTTGCATTCTTAAGCTTAGGTGTCCTTGGTAACCTCTAAATTGTGACATAAATCACATGATGATGAGCATGTAACTCTGATGTTCTTGATATGGTATGTATTTCTTTTTCAATCAGGCATATTACCTTGTACCAGAATACAATCATTTTCCTTGCGATATATAAGCTGTACTTCTACAGAGAAAAAATCATTCACGTA